TGTGTTTGGGTCCCCCCCCCCCCCACGCATAATAGTTCATAAAATAGTAACTTTTTTTTTTTTCCCCAGGAACTAAATTAAAGGTGTTTTCCCTTTAAAAGTATTAACAGAGCTGAACCCCTCCACCCACCCCAAATTAAGTGCAGCCAGAAATGGTTTTCTTTATACTTCTGATATCACGTTTTAAAAATTAAAACCTACCGATCTTTTTTTTTCCCCAAGACGTAATTCATGCAAAGTTGCTATTTGTTTAAATAAGTTATAAAAGTTGATATCTCAGGCTAGAAGAAGCTGTAGTCTTGGTTATTCTTTAGTTGGCAGGCACTGTACATACATACCGGGTACAGACGCATGCCGAATCTGCTTTGCATTGCTTTTTGCATTGTACAATTCACAAATCTGACATCATTAAAGCAGTTAATTACCTTTGATGGAAGGCTGCAGTGAGGCCGTCTACATTTACCAAACAAGCAGCTGGTTAAGATAACAAGTATGCTCCCCCCCACCCCGGTGCTCCCCAAAATGCTATTATCTGTCACACGTTGCTTCTCTGAAGTGGTTAGATTTGGTGCGCACATTAATGTGCAAATGTGTTGCCATAGGAACTGCAGCCTCCATTACGCCTCAATGACACCATTCAGCAAAAGCCAAAACTAAAAATAATAACAACAACAACAAAAAAAACCCACCCCTTAAAAATAAAATAAAAACAAACAAACACAAAACCCCGAAAGGCAGCAAAGAGAAAGTCCAACGCACATGCGGAGTCTGGCCCAGGACTGCAGGTTACGCGTGGCTACAGAACAGCGCAAGAGATATTTAGGTTTGATCTTAACTTCACGCTATGGTACAACGGCGCTCAAGAGTTCAGCCGGTCCGAGTCTGTGCTGGCTTAGGAAGAAGGGGGGGAATGGAGCGGAGTCGTGGTTACCGGATGCACCCAGGGTCTCTCAGACATTTGGCAGAATGAGGCACATCCAAAAAAAGTGCAACACCAGTGCCGTGGTGGCAGTGCGATGTGGTTGAGTGCGTGCACGCGCTTTCCTCTTCATGCATTGTAGCAAGCGGGTTGGGGCGGGGGTTTTTTGCCCCCCACCTTTTCTTTGAAAACTATTAACCAGTAAATAACGGTAAGACGAATGCATATTCTACTTACTGGTGCATGGAATACTGAAAACTGCATTCAAGTAATATTTCTGCACTATTATGAATGCATCACTATGTTATCTTACATTTGGAAAAGGAGAAGACTATGTACACCAGAGCAGTGGTACTATTTTGCAGTTAAAGTTTCTGTGCTTTACGGAGGTACCTGGGAAGGAGAGGCCGCCGCTCCGCTCCGCTCTGCCCCGCCAGGTCGCAGGACTCCCAGCGCCACCACCTACAGCATGCGAGGAAGGAGCGCTGCTCGGCCGGACCGTCGAGCTGCACGGAGCAAACCAAAAGATGACATGAGGGAACAAAAACTCAACCCAAAATTGGCAAATCAACAGTGACGAGAAATAGAAGGGCAATTTATTATTTTTGAAGGAGGAGGAGGGAAAAAAAAAGAAATTTTTTTTTTGTTTGGTTGGTTGGGTTTTTTTTTATTCTTCCCGCAGCTGCAGGCGGTAGCGGTGGTAGCGGAGCTGGAAAAACATTCTCTCCAGTAAGGAGCGCGTCATCCCCGGCAAGGCGTAATGTTCGACGACACCCACGTGCTTGAACCCCAAGGACTCGTAGAGCTTGTGGGCTGCCATCTTCACGGCCGTGGTTCCCAGCACGACGGAGGAGTAGTTGTTGAGCACGGCAAACTCCAGCACTTTGCGGCCCAGGGCCTTGGCGATCCCTTTGCCGCGGTAGTTGGAGTCGACGGACATGCGGCGCAGCTCCACCGTGTTGTCCTCCTCGTTGCCCCGCGCCGCCACGATCCCCACCACGTTGCCGTCCAGGACGGCGACCCAGAAGCAGGAGCCTGCGGGAGATAAAGCAGCACATGTAGCTGTTGGCCGCCTCGCACAGGCAGAACGGGCAAGGCACCCGCTTCTGAACACGCCGATGGGAGCCGGGCTCGGGGTCGGAAATCGCCACTCTCTCACACGTGGGGGCTAACGACCTCCATAAATAAGGACCAAGCTTTCTTTTCCCTTGCCACTGTGAAGGGAATGTTGTTTTCCAGAGGAAAACGCACAGGAAAGTCGCTACGAACCAAAACATGAGATTCCTAGGGACCAGGTGTTATCAAGCGCATTTGGCTGCCATCACAGACAGGGAACGATCCTCGGCTCACGGCAGCACACCATGGGGAAATCCTGGCCCCCCCCAGCCACGCTCTCCTGTCCCAGCGCTAACTTCGCTGCAGGGAGTCCCGGATCCCTCCCAGCCCAGCACAACCCATCTCTGGCTGCTTCTTGCACCCCACCCTGAGAGCCGGCAGCGGCGCGGGCAGCCCCTTGTACGCTTTTTGCTGCCAAACTCCTCCTCTCCTAGCAGCCACACTTTCCAGAGGCTCTTGTCTCCAGGCACACAGCTCGCCTGCGGCGCGGGCAAAGCATCATCGGGCTCATCAGCTGAGAGCCGCGGATGTGCTCTGGGCAGACCTGTGCTCTCCAAACGGAGCAGGGCCGGCCGCAGGCAGGGAGCCCCCGGGGGAGAAGCAGAGGGTGGTGCACAAAGCACCCCTGGTGACTGGGGAGGGCAGGATCTGACCCAGATGCCAGTGAGGGGAGGGAAGGCTGAGCCCCTTTCCCCGGTGCTGTGGCAAGAGGCATGGAGCCGGCTCGGAGCAGGACGGGGACGGGAGCGGGAGCCCCTGTGCCAGGGCAGAGCAGGCAGGGCTGGGACGCACGCACGGGGAGGTGGCGGGGCTTCCCTAGGTCTGGGAAACCTGTTCCTGCCGTGGGCCAGGCACCCAGCCGTGGTCCCAAGCTCTTGTTGGGACTCACAAGGGTGTTGCTTTTTGGGTGCAATGCAAGAGCAGCCCTGATGGCTCAGGGCTGCCAGGGAAAGGGACAATGCCACCCAGCCCTGGGCACCCAGGCAGTGGTGCAGCATTTCCCCTCCTCAAATCTCAGCACCTTCCCACCACTGCAAACAGCGTGCAAAGGAGCACGGAAAACACTCTGGAAGAGAGATGCCACGGGATAGGCAATCCACCGCAGAGAAACTGCTGCAAGCCCCTAGGAGGAGAGGAAGATCCGTCCCTCTTCCCCAGGGACACTTTGCCCTCAGCCAGCACCCAAAGCTTGTTCACAGCCATGACTGCAGCCTTGCCAGACGAACAGCGCTGGCTGCACCCCGAGGGGAGCCGGAGCGCCGTGAGCACTGCTCCAGGCACGCAGGGACAGCATGAGGACCCGGCCTCCCTGCGGTATCCTCCTGCCAGCCCCTTCTCCAACCCACAAAGCCTGGCTTGTTTCTGACCTCCCCCCATGCAAATCTGGATACACAAGCGCATCCTCCTCTTGCGGACTTCAGGGGCTCAGCGCAGGACTTGCCCAAGACAGCTGCAAATAGAAAAATCCAAACTGGGCAGCAAGATGAGAAACTAGGATCACAAAAGACAGCGAAGCATGAACAGAGGAAAATGCCATATACAACCCCCAGGAAGAACATCTCCTGTGCACAGCCAAGATCAGGCTCACCCACGCCTTTTTCCCCCCGCAGTTTGGGGTGCTCATGGCCAGACCCTCCTTGCTTTGGAGCTGCTGCTCCTCTGCTGGTGTGTGCCAGGCGAGAGCATCTCGTGAGCTGGGAACATGGTGCTCAAGCAACTCGGGCCAAAACCGTGTAGAGTTTCAGTGAGCAAAACCAGCCCATCCTTAATTGTTCCCCGGCACCAGTCAGCTGGAAGTGCTGCTCCAGGAACGAGGACGCGGCTTAATGAACAGGTTGTGTTTTTGGGGGTGCAGGGTATCAGCACGGCCACTCTGCAGTGGGGCTGAAGGCTTGGTAGGGCAGATGCTGCCTTCAAGAGCCCAAAGCAAAACCCATCTTAATCAAAGCCCAGGAGCCTGAAGGGCATCCAGTCGGGCTCGGGGCAAGCACATCGAGGTCCCAAGCACTCTGACTACAGCCCCAGTTATGAAGCTCAAATAAAACTGGACCTCACTGGAAAGAGGTACCGATGTCATCTCATCCCACTGCTCGTAACAGCCAACAAACATTCAAGCCAGTGCAATTAGAAACTGCTGTAACTGGAATAGTACAGCATCACTTGGCCTCACCAGCACTGGGACTTGAAAAAAAAAAAAAATCACAACTGAAACCCAAGTAATGAATTACTCGGGTCTGAACTAAAGATCCTCACAGAAAATCCTAGTGAAGGAAAAGTGTCTTGAATTGAACTGAAAAGACCAATGCTGTCAGCACAGAGCAACTGCGACCTTAGCTTGGATACTGCTTAATTAACACCCAAGAAAGCACACTGTTCAATTATGGCAGCTAACGAGGGGCACTGACAGGTCACTCACCAAGAAGGACTTTCAGCGCTCAGGAGGAACATGGCTTCACCCAGAAAAAGAGGATCCCATCACAGGAGAAACCCCTGGGGCACTGCGACCTGTGGCCTTCCCCGGTGCTAAGCAGAAGGAAACGGCACTTGGGCAGCAGCTCCATCTTTAGCATCCACCCTGCCAACTGCCCCGACCCAACGCATGGCACACCTCTAAGGACTGGCGTTAAACAGCCCGGGTGGGTGCTCAGGGGTACACAGCATCGCTCCCCCTGCAATATGGGGGGCAAAAAATTAATAAGGCAACTCAGAGTCCTTTGTTACTGGAGGAGAGCAAAGCATGGGGCGGCAGGAGATGCCTCCCTGGCTCCTGCCTGCGGGACAAATGCACCTTGCAACTTGGCGAAGCCATTGGAAGAGAGGGATGAATTCTTCTGCGCTTCCCCGCAGCGCAGGGAACCAGCCCAGGTTCAACCCAGCACACCGGGCTTGTCCCCGCCTCCAGAGCGACAAGCAGCTCCAGCGATGCTCACTTTTGTTCCCACCGCGAGCAAGTCATTACGCTGTCACTATCTAGGTCAACAGCTAATTTTTAAAACACTGGGACCCATCTTGACCCATTTATCACGAGCAGTTAAGATGTCTCTCCTCTACTGCTGCGTTGACAGTGCAGCTTGTTCTCCTGCATTCACCTGTATCTCAAAATGTAATTTATTCAGACACGGCCCCAGACAAAGACCTACAAGCGCTGAAGCCCAGCAGCCACCCTCCCTCCGAATACAAATCCCAGTATGGAGCTCACCGCTCTCTGCTCCACAGCCTTGTTCTTAAACTGCTTGTCACGTGGCAGCTCTGCCCAACGTGCCACCCCCCCAGCCCATCCATCACGCCTCTGGCCGCACGGCAAGCACACCACAAAATCTGGGCCACGGTCATCCTCACCCCTACGTGCACAGCCATACAAGCTCCCGTGGCATAGCCCAAAGAGGGGATTCATGAGTCCCCCACCACGTCCAGGGAGCAGAGATGAGAAACAACCCCTGGGAATGCTCCCCTGTGGGCACATGGTGCCATCCCCCGGTACCCACCTGATGCTGAGGCATCCCCAAAAAGTGCCACAAAGTGGCCAGCGACTGGTGCCCACCGAGCCGCAACCAGTGGCACAGCCACCATGTCCCGGTCACCCAAGCCTACACACGGCAACTCCTCCTGGAGCTGCTTCTTCAGCAAGACTGGCTCGTCTTCCTCCAACCAGAGACACCAACCTAGGTTCCTCTTGGCTTGAGGTTACACCATAACTTCCCTGATTGCTTCCCGCTTGTATTCCTGATTTTCCCTGCTTAGCAAGCACCTCTCCTCTGCGGCCACCAAGCCCGAGAGGCTGCTAAAGCTCAACCAGTAACACACTTCCCACCTTTGTAAAACAGCACGTTTCTAGTATTTTTAGATCTTCTGCCTATTTAAAACCCAATTCTGGACATGCCCACCATGGCAGAGCCCACAAGGCCCTCCACGCGCCCAGCCCCCTCTGACCACCCTTCAGGACAGAGGCCGTACCCCCACACCCGGCCGGCCCAGCGGGGACCAGCCCGGTTGCAAGCAGCATGACAGCAAACCTGCACTCCTTGTTAGTTTTTACTTACAACTTTAAAGCTTAATTATAATGATTTTGAGTTCAACATGAAAAGAAATAGTATCTGGCACATCTCCCAGTGTGTGTCACGCATGCAACACTTATAATTAGCAGCAGACAGGACGCATCTGCTCCAACAATGCAAGCTGTATTCAGCTCTCGCTTACACCAGTGCCATCAATCCCCAAGACTTTTACCCTGCTGTCCACCCCATGTCTGTGCCTGCTCTGAGGATTACCAGCGGCCAGATCCTTCAGCCTGCTAAAAACACCTCAAGTTTCCAAAGGTGGCTACAAGCCCAGGAGCAGCTTTCACCCATGGAGTTGTCAAATCCCTCCTCCAGGGAGCTGCATCCCATTCGGATGGGGATTTGTTACCGAAAGTTATTTTGGGGTCCCACCACATGATGTTCAGCTCGGGCTGAGACCTTCTCTCCTCTGGGGAAACCCTCCAGTTTCAGAGCAAGAACCCTGAAGGTCTTTGGTTTGCTTTTTACCTAAACTCAACATGTTTTCAGCAATCCTTGCCAGCTGCAGCTCCTCATCATATCCATTCTTCCAGCAGCACTTACTCTGGAGCAGGGTGGAAGCACCCTGGGAAAACCAACCCACACTGCCACTCCCCAGGGCTGGCGGAGGTCTCTTTCCCATCTTTTCTGGACCAAGGGGACTGACTCAGAGGCTGTCTTGTTTTTGCACTTTTTCATACCCTAGGTATGATCAAATAAAATTAACTTCATCTCACCTGTCAGTAATGAGCAACAGTCTTATTGCTTGTAGCGCTATTAATAGCGGGAGCTGACGTTTTACTCTCTCACACCGCTATCTGAAAATAATCGCTGCTGCAAAGATAAACACAAACCCTGACTGCTACAACTCTCCCTGCCCTTCAGATACTCACCTCATGGCAGCGTCTCTGCCTCTGCCTTCGCTCTCACCTGCCTCCATCTCTGGGGTCCCCCATCAACTCATCGCTACAGACATCCAAAGCCCTTGCAGTTCACCCTGCCCTAAATGCCTCTCTACGCTCTCGACCTTGCAAGAAAATTTACTCCAAAGTCTGTCCTTCATGGACATCTTGCATTTAACTCCAGCTGCCCTGTGAACACCCCTCTGGAGTACTGGAGGTACCTACCGGAGACATTAGCTGTTTCCAGCCAAACACCAAGCCTCTTTGCAGCACTGTCCCTTGCCTCCTGATCCGACTCAGCCCCTCCAGGCTGCCAACAGGTGAAGGTGAGGAGAAGCAGCCATGGAAAGCCCACCATTGCCTTGCTTAGCTCTCTCCACTCCCCCAGCCCACTGCCTCACCACACAGTCTCAACTCCAGGAACTCGCAGGCAAAAGCAGTAATAAAGGAAGAAATTTTTTATGATGAGGGGGGTGAGAGACCAGAACAGGTCGCCCGGAGAAGCTGTGGGTGCCCCATCTTTGGAAGCGTTCAAGGTCAGGTTGGATGGGGCTTGAGCAACCCGATGTATTGAAAGATGTTCCTGCCAATGAAAGAGATCCCTGCCCACAGCAGGGGGGTTGGACTAGATGATCTTTAAAGGTCTCTTCCAACCCAAACCATTCTATGAAAAGAAAAACTTGGGATGCACACATCTATGGAAAAGGCACAAAATGCCTGTGATGTGAAACAAGGAAGATTATTTTGGGTTGTTCATGCTTCACAGCAAGGTCAGACATGGTTCCTGAGCTGACAGCACCCAGGGCCTAAAAGCACACATGATGGCAGTGTCTTTCTGCTCAAAATTTAAGGATGATTCCCATCCGCTCATCCTCCACCTGAAGCACCCACAGCTCCTGCCCAAAGAGGACATGCCATGTGATCCCCCGGCTGTGCTTGCAAGCCTCCTCTCCTGCTCTCCTCTGCCGTCATGAGCTGCACAGCTCTCCCCCATGCAGCCAACAAGGATGGTGGGTGAAAATAAATTCATTTATTTTTGCTGCAAATTCTTCTACACCCTTCAGTGAATAAAAGGCCAGTGGGTGGATGGGTGGAAAGATTGGAGCCAAAAGCAATAGCAGAGTACTGCTAGAAGAGAGAGTGAAAATGAGACATCAGCATTCCCCACCAGTACAAGTCCTGTGTGATTGACTATAGCAGGTTCCCACAGCTTTCCTAAGTCCCTCAGCACTCAAGGACCGTCACCCCAAAAAACAGAATTTAACACGCACATTGCTCTGACAAAGCAAAGCTGTCTGCCAGGTACTTTTAAAATCCATTGTTGGTTAGTAAATTCTAGTATTTCCACAGGAGCAAGCAAAGCTCTGCTGCCCCAAAACGTCCTGAACTTGTACTTGGGTCCTCCCCTGCGCCCGCACCGGGGCTGTGAGGGGGCTCGGGGCTGAGCCAGATAAAGCCCATCCCTGCTTTCCGTAGGACTGGAGAGAGGACTTCTGTGGCCACCACTGACTGCTGGTGCTAATTTTACATGGGTGGGGTTGCATCCCTGTGGGAAGGAGTTTTCCTTGGAAGCTCAGTACAGGGCAAGTATGGAAACCTTGCCTAGAGGCAGGCCAGTCTTTTCCCTCCTTCTTCAAGGGTGGCACTGCTATCTCCCACAGCTGAGCTCTTATTAACTCTTTGAGGGTTATTCATGGAACATAGTTTCCAGACAGACATGCAACTTCTCAAGGCAATGTCCCTTCAAGCATGGACTGCGATTTTCAGTTCTGCTTTAGCATGTCACAGCGACACAGACATGAGCAATTCCTCTCCCCGCTCAAAGCTGTCCGGCTGACGTTCTCAGAGCATCATCCAGAGGAAGGGATCAGCGGAGCTGCTCGCCAGCTACCACCACTGCTGGGAACCTGCCAGGAAAACGCCAGCTCCTCTGCATGCTTACAGCAGAGCCAGGAAAGCATCCGAGGACTGGCCACTGTGAGAAAAGGAAGCTGATATCAAGAGAAGCTCTGGGCAGGCCAGGCGTGAGCTCTGGGAGGGGATGGAGGCTGCCCACAGGCTCGGTGTGTGTCTTCAGGGCTCTGCTGGGAGAAGCAGCATCCTGTACTGGGCAAACCTCCCTCTCAAGCTTCGATTTTCCTCTAGGCTGCTAGGAACAGGCAAAAAGAGGAAAAACAATAAAAACCCAGACAAAACCCCCCTAAAATCAGCCATGTCCTTCCCACAGGACACGACCTGCAATTGCCTGTGTCCCTTGCTCTTAATATACCTACATAAAAGCTTGCCAAAACCAACAGGCTTGCTAATCCTAGAGATCCGAATGCCCACAAACTCCTCCCTGCGACCTGCTGATGTACTGCGGCGCAGCCCAGTGCAACACCACCACACAGAAATACTGGGACAGAGGAAATGCAACACGCTGTTGCATCATGAAGCTTTAAATATTTGTCCTTGGAGTCACTTGTTCAGCATCCAGTGCCATCTTTCGGTGTGATTTTGCCCAGAGCAGCAGCCTTTTCTGCCAAGCCAAGGTGGTCTGAGCAAGGCGGTACGGAGGGAACCAGGGGGTGTCCTGCACTGGACACAGTGCTGTGCAATTATTACTTATTTATAGATAACAGAGTAAAAAGCCCCAAAGTTCAGTGTCTCACCTCTCCTCCTGCCAGCACTATTATATACATTGCTTTAAGCAAGACAGGCCATGTGCAGCAGCAAGTGGACAGAGCTCCCAGCCCAAAGCCAGCTGTGCCCCGGATATGTATTGCTGATGCTGTTTAAGTCCCTGCCCTTTTATCCTGTCTGGGTTTTGAAGAGGGAGCAGAGGAACTCAGCACTTCAGGCAACTCTCCCTCCTCCTTCGCCCTCGGCGAAACACAGGGCAGACCAGCCGAGTTACATCAGCGTCAAGGGAGAAAGGAGGCTCTTCTGGGGAGAGCGTGGCTGCCGTGACATGAATGCTGCCGGCGGGAGGAGTTTGGGGCACAGACGTGGCACAGCTGCTGCCCAGCCACAGATGCAGGCAGTTGGGGTGCAGGGACTAATCAAGGACAGGCAACCTGCTATAGACTGCAACTGCTCAGCTAGCCGGGTCACGGAAGGATTTATTTCTGTGTTTATGAGGCACATTATTTCTCCTTACCTCCATCTTTCTCATGTCTTGAGTTTCTCTCCCTTTCACCCTTCTAGCTCCCCTTGGCTTCAAGCAGGGCTGTATAACAGCTCCAGCAACTTCTGCTAATAACCCTGTACTTGACTTCAGTTAAAAGGCATTCATGGAGGGCTCCTAAAAAATAATGCCATTTCAGAGTAGTTTATGGCCATGGAAACCAGGTGAGATGTGAGAGACCCCGGCTCCAACACTTCTGACACCCATGAGCATCCCTCTACACCAGACAAGGCCCAGGTGCAGGGGAGCAAAAAATGTCAGGGACACACAAGAATTATTCGTGCATGAAATTAGAAATGCTGTGGGACCCCTTCCTTCTCATAAATAACTCCACAAAACCTACGACCGCAGGATTCATCGCCCATTATAAATAATTCCCTGCTGGAAGAGCACAGGGCAGCACATCTACGTGCTGAGGGTGGATGACACCCCTTGATTCATGGGGCATCTGGGCAGCAGGCAATG